AAACCAGGCCTTCACTTTGAGAAACCTTCCTGTGGATGCAAAGCAAACTAAGACCTTCTAGGACCTTCTGCTTCACTGAGCAGAAGGCCATCAGAGCAGTTTCTTTGCTATAACACACACTTTTGAAATGAGTTGGCATGGGTGAATAATAAATAGGTTGCTAGGAGATGCGTCCTTGGGGAGTGAGGTATGCCTGCTACTGAAGGTGTGCTGGTTTCCGTGCAGGTTTTCCTGGGCAAAGGGATCCTGAATAGCTGGAACAAATTACAGAATCTCAAGCAGGAAAGAAAAACCCTTTAACACAGCTTTTCCCTCGGTCCCCAGGCCTACCTTGACAGCAGCTAGGTGAACTCACAGAGCCACTTCTGTTTTCACAGTCTCAGCACCCTTCAGCATGTTCTAAAGGGTGGCCAGCATCTCCACTCAATGTTGTATTTTTAAATCTTCATGACAGCCTCCAGCCAACCTGGGCAGCCCAAGTAAGTTCCTCAGTACATTTTTGTATTTATTCCCCTTTGGCTTTAAAATGGTCTATTTCCTAAATGACCTGCAGGGAATTCAGTTTTCCCCAGAACTCCTGATATGTAAGTGCAACATTTTGAGCCTATGAGGTGTTTCAGGAATATGGATATCACTGGGGCAGAAACATCTTAAGTGCAAAGAATGCCCATTGCCACTGTTGGAAAGTGGTATTGAATAACCTAGTGGTTTGTTCCTCGGCTAAAAGTATGGCAGGGGAAAAGAAGAGCTTCAGGATGCCTCAGAAAGCTTTCAAGTTTTAGGTCTTTGTGGCCCTGTTTGCAGGGTACAACTTGAATCCCTAGGCCAACCCTTGCATCAATTCTATGTGGACTCCAGGACTCTGCCAGGCTGTGCCTCAAGTTAGCTGAGTTTATGGGGTGTGTTCGCCAGGGCACACGTGCCTGAACCCTGCCCTGGAACTGCCACACTGACACCAGAACCTCTGGGGGGTAGGGGTTGGTTATCTGTATATTTAGAAGGTACCATGCTGGGTATGAAAGAAACTAGGACCCTCAACCTTGGAGGTATTTGTTGAATTACATGGGAGTTTTTTGTTGTTTTTATTTCTGTTTTTGTTTGGGGCAGTACTGGAATTTGAACTTGGAGCCTCCAACTAGGCAGGCACTCTAGGACTTGAGTCCCCTTGTAGCCCCTTTCACTTTTAGTTATGTTTGGGACAGGGTCTTGCTTTTTGTCCAGGTTGGCCTGGTTGGCCTGGATCTTCCTATCTATGCTTCTGAGTATCTGAGATGACAAGTGAGAGTCATCATGCCAACTATTGGTTGAGATGGGGGTCACAAGAATTTTTTGCCTGTGCTGTCCTTGAACCACAGTCCTCCCAATCTCTGCCTACTGAGTAGATAGGATTATAGGTATAAACCACTACCTGGGAACTTTTAAAATGCTCAACACCCAAGCCACACTTTAGGCCTGATCATGTGGGAATCTGGGATGGGAGTCAGACAGCTTCCAGATGATTCCAGATACAGCAAGGGACAAGAGCAATAGTTTAGCATCTTTTTTTGTAGCTCTAGGGATCAAATCCAGAGCCTCAGACATGCTAGGCAAGTGCTCTGCCACTTAGCTATATCCAAGCTCCCTTAAGATCTTTTCTAATCTGAGGAAGATCTTGTACTCTGTAGAGCAGGGCTTCTGAAACTTTGGTGCACATAGGAGTCCCCTAGGGAACAGTCAAAACGCAGACTCTGACTCAGTAGGCCTCGTGTGGGGTGGAAGAGTTTGCCCTTATAATCAGCTGGTCCACACACCACACAGTGGGCTGCAGGACGGGAAGCACTGATAATTTTTCTTTAATTATTTGACACTGACAGTACAATGACTGCCGTGAGCCTGAACTTTAACAGACCTTGTCCATCCAGGGTGATTAATGGTATCTGGCAGAAGTTGAACAGAAGGCTTTGTGATTAAAAACAAAACAAATGTTTGTGCTACTTCCTGGGTCAGTCATAAGTGCTGCTCAGCTGAGAGAGATGAACCAGTACAGCCCCCGCCTTACCTGTTACTGTCATTGTCAGTCATCATAGAGGGCTGGCTTATCAGCCCTCTGGAGCCACCGTTTTAACAGTTTTTTTGGGTTTTTTTGAGGTAGGGAACACATTTTGTTATGCAAAAGAATTCAAGATCTCAGATTGTTCTGCCCCAAATCTGAAAGCTTATTGCAAGAAGGCTTAGATCATTTGCATTTCTTTTCCTGTGCCCACCCCAAAATATTTCATAGAAACCTGCTTTGTGCCCTGCCTGCTACTGGATGGTCACACAAATTCTCGTGTTGCTGCATCCCTGTTCTTGTATTGCCTGCTGAACACCTAGGCTGAACTTAGCAAACCATCAGCTCATATACCTTTAACCCAAAAGAGGTAAATCTTCTGCTATGCTACTTAAAGCACCACTGGGAACTAATGCACAGGCTGGCAGTCAGCCACCTTAAGAAGCATATTCACCCCCAGAGACATGTATACATCATTCAGTAGGAACTGCTGGTCTTGGACCTCAAGATCTCTGTCTCTATGTCTCTCTCACCCTTTGGCTTATGTTTAAATCAGTCAGCGCCCAAACTGTGAGCAAATCGAAGACTGATTTACCCCAACTTTTGCCTTCATTCCAAATAGCACAAATTGTTATTATGTTCTACTGTTAATTAACCACCTCTTAGAATTCAAAGTACACTTGGTTTCTTTGACTTTAATCCATCTGAGCCCCTCTCTCCTACTTAGATCCCAAGCTCTTGACCATGAGGCTGATATTGATCTGGCCATTGGTAAAAATTCCTAGCAGGAAAGTGGTAATAAGCTTTTATCAGCTCTCAAAGAGGGGATGAGATTCTGACATGTATATTGCCTGGCAGTGTGCTAAGTGCTCTTTTTATAAATAGGTGTAATCTTATCAAGAAATGGTGTTAAAAGGATTGGACGCCATAGGAAAAAGAGAACCTCAATCTAAACCTTTATTCCTTCTTCAAAATGAGTCATAAAATTTAAATAAACCTTTGGAACTTACAGAATAAGTAGGAAAAATCCTTCAGAATGTAGGGCTAGCTAGAGAGTTCTTAGGCTTAACCAGAGCATAGCCATAAGGGGAAAACTGATAAAGTGGACCTCATCAAAGTTGCTAACTTTTGCTCTGTGGAAGTTCATGTAAAGATGGTGAAAAGACAAGCTATGGCCTAGGAAAAAATATTTGTAAACCAACAAAGGACTAGTGTCTAGAATAGACACAGAACTCTCAAAACTCTGCCATAAAACAGCAAATAATTCAATTAGAGGACGGATTTAGCAGACATTTCACTAAAGAGGATATACAGTTGATGAAGAAGCTCATGAAGAAAATGTCCAACATCATTAGCAATTAGGGAAGTGCAAATTAAGCCACATTAAGTTATCACTGCATGCATCAGAATGGCTACAAAAAAAAGTGGCAATAGTGACATGCTGGCAAGGATGTGGAGAAACTATACCACTTATAAGTTGCTAATGGGATTGTAAAATGATGCAGTTATCCTGGAAAACAGGTGGCAGTTAAAAAAAAACAAAAACAAAAAAAACTAAACCTGCAGCCACCATGTGACACAGCAACTGTACTCTTGGGCATTGATCTCGGAGAAATGAAAATTTATGTTTACGTAAAATCAGTACACAAATGTCTTATTCATAATAGCAAAACACTGGGATCAGTCCAAATTTCTCCATTCAGTGACTCAGTAAACAAATGGCAGAACACATACCATGGAATACTACTCACAACAAAAAATGACCTGTTTTTGTTCTTGTCTTTGTTTTTAGTTTTTTGAGACAGGGTCCAACCTAGCCTGGACGTTACTATGTAACCCTGGCTGGCTTCAGACTCATGATTTTTCTGTTTTGGTCTCCAAGTGCTGGTATTACAGTCATGTGCTACCCCATCTGGCTAGGAGTAAACTTCTGATACACACAATATGGATAAATCTCTGGGAATTATGCTGAGTAGGAAAAACTCCCAAAAGGTTACGTATTTTCTGATTCCATTTACATAACATTTTTTTGGCAGTAGTGGGGTTTGAACTTAGGATTTCATACTTGCAGGCTAAAGCTGTATGGCATGAGCCATGTATCCAGCTCTGTACAGCATTTTTGAAATGATAAATTTTTAGAGTTGGAGGACAGATTAGAGGTGGCCAGGGCATAGGGCAGGGGGGTGAAGGAGTGAAGGGTGTGGTTATTGAGGGTAATAAAGACCTTGACTCTGGTGGTGGATAAAGGAACTTACGCAGGTTCCTATATGCACAAGATTGAATCTAAGGCTTTGTACATGCTTAGCATGCACTCTACCTTTCAACTACACCCTCAGTTTCACTATAAATACATGTCAACACACATACTCACACAGGAGGATAAATGCAGCTGGAGAACTCTGAATAAGACTGTCAGGTCGTCCATATTGAGGTTGTGATACTGTGCTGCAGTTTTGTAAAATGTTTCCATTGGGAAATCTGGACAAAGTGTACAAACATCTCTGTGAATTATTTCTTTTTCCTTTTTCTTTTTCTTTCTTTGTTCTTTTCTTTTTTCTTGTTTGGTAGTATCCCTTAGCACCCTTTTTTGTTTCAGCTATTTTAGGGATAGGGCCTCACATTTTTGGCCTCAGCTAGTGATCCTCCTGATCTCTGCCTCCTGAGTAGCTGGGATAACAGTGTGAGCCACCACACTCAGCCCTCTCTGAATTATTTTCTACAATGACATGTGAACGTACTGTTAGCACAATAAAAACAAGTATAAAACCATTTGCAGCCAGACCTTAGGAAGTCTTCAATATGGGAAGAAAAGGCATGTGTTAAGAAGGTAAGTATGGCTTGGGACATAGCTCAGTGTGTGTGAGGCCCTGGATTTGATCCCCAGCATCGCAAAATAAAGAATATAATAGTAATAAAACAAAAATGATAATAAGACTAATACACATTAAATATTAACTGTGTAATAAGCACTGTGCTGAGCATTATATGTACAAGATTTTAATCCTTAAGACACTTGGAGGTGTTATTATTTCTCTTTTACGGGTGGAGACACTGGAGCTCAGCGAGCTTACACAGTTTTTCCTACGCTCACAGGGTTAGAAGGTGATAGGGTAGGAACAAAACTCACTCAGTCCCTCCACCCTATACAGTGGTTCCTTCTTATTCACAGGGGATATACTCCAGGACCTCTGATGGGTGACTGAAATCATGGAGAGGACCCAACCTTATCATTTAATGTCTTTTCCATCATAACTAAGCATTTATCAGACACTGTGGCTGTACCTTTTGCAGTTTGAAGTGCAACAGCAAAACTAGCATGAATGGTTTACTCATTCACCATTTCACAGGTGAAAGATTTATTACTATAGGGCTTAGCAACCTCAACCTATGATTGCTTTTCTTCCCTTACTAAGAGCTTTCACCTTTCCACTTAAAGAAAGCACCTTCCAGCTTCGCTTTGGCTTGGCAGATGAACTGCCCACATCTCTATGTGTACACTTTGTACCCATTATTAAGTAAAATAAGGGTTACTCAAACATAAACACTGCAGTACCATAACAGTCAAACTGATAACTGAGATGGTTATCAAGTGACTAACAGAAGGGTAGCAATTGAGAATGATACAAAATTTTAAATGTACAATAAATTGTTTATTTCTGAAACCACAGAAAGCCAAACTGCAGGTAAGAGGCACGGGACTATTGTATGAAGAATTCAGACAAGAATGCTATGAGTTTCTCTGAAGAGAGAAATCACAGTTAGGGATGAAGAAAGCAATCTGCCACACTTTGGCCTTGAAAGTACCAGGAAGGCTGAGCTAGTAACATACTGGCAAAAGTACGCCAGACAAGAAGATGGACATTGTCCACCAGGTACCTGAGAAGATGCTACATTTTCCAGATGAGGAAAACAGTGTGCATGCCTGCTTCGCTTCTGAGAGATAGACAAAGGCAAAATGGTGGAAGGTCTTGAGTGCTTGGTGAATTGTGGTTAGATCTTCTGGATCTAATCAGCATTTTATGACAAAGGAATCCAAATCCAAGGTATGAATGGTTTAGAAAAAACGGATCCATTTCCAGGGCCAAAGAGGCAAGGGAAGCACATTGTATTAGTGGGAGCTAGAGATAGCATCCTGTATGAGAATGCAACCACAGAATGTACTCAGGAAAATAAAGGCTATAAAGTGGTTGAGATCAGAGAGCATTAGAAACACACCTAACGAGGCACTTAATCTCATATGTTACAGGTACTTACTCATCCAATGACCCAGTGCCCATTATGTGGCAGGCACTATTCCAGATACCTGGGATTTATCAGTGACAAAATACACTTAATAAATTATCTTCTACCGAGGAGCTCTCCTTCTATGATTGGTGCTAATTCCTGGTCGGGAAAATTCTTGACTCCCAGAATCTGAGGATAGAAATACTGTACACTTGTGATCTCATGATCCCAAACAGAAATGCAAATCTCTCTGGGATGAAGCTGAGTGGCTATGCAAAAGGACAGACACAGCACTTCTGATTTAAGAGCAAGGATGATCTTACCCCAGTGTGGCTGGGGAAAGAAACTTAAGATGGGCGGATTGTCAGGCTTTCCTCTGAGTTGGATCAGGAAAGCAAGCTCAAAACCAAGGTGAAGAGTTGGCAGTGTGACCCTTGAAGAGGATTCCCGTTAGCCTGGGGCACCCTCTCTGTTTTCCACTCCCAAGGTGGAATTAATTTTGTAATCTTCCATAATGTAGACAAACCGGAGACTTTCCAATCCCAGCTTGGGTGGGTACTATTTCAAGACAAATTGTAACAAGATGGCCTTTCACTGTAAAAGAGAGACAGGAGGCAGGAAGTAAATACACCTGGATACATGTTTAAACGGGAGAGATTCTGCAAGAAAGCCTTGGTTGTAAGACAGAAAATTAGAGAGATGGAATTTTTCTCAGATTCCTAAAAGCACTATGCAGATGAAGATAAGATACTAAAAGCAGCTACTCACTTTCTGCAAAAAGACAGCTCAAGGTAAGTGAACCACCCAAGACTCAAGAGTGGCAAAATGTGTTAGTATTACCCATAACTCAAGATTTGTAGTCATTTTTAACTCTTTAGGCTGAAAATAAATATTTAAAATGTCTTTGAATTTAGTTATGGAAAGGTGCACTAATCTATTTCTTTTGCTAGGCACTATTAAAAAGAGTTTCATTAAATCCCAACAACCCCTACATTTCTATGTCAAATTTGCACTGACATTTTGTCATTTGCTATCACCTTGGTTGTATTTTACAGTGTGCAAGAAATACAGGCATCTTCTACAATTAAATAGTAACTTTTTGAATGGGTAAGAGAATCTGCATTTTCAAATGTGCCAATTCCTGTGGCAAAATTTTTTTGTTTTAGTCCAAGGAAAATAAATGCCACAGGTCTAAAGATCCCATTTTTAACTTGAAGCTGCACAGAACTGCTCTTGAATGTCCAGCTTCCATTCAAGTTTCTAGCTGTCCCTTGAGAGGTCAGTTCTGCTAACGACCTGCAAGGTGAGACATGTTCCCACTCCCTGAGAAAATGCAAGTTCTTTGTTTGGTTTTCTGAGCAGGAATGTTCATGGCTCTGGGACAATTGCCTTAGTCACCGCACAATGCCCAGGTCAAGGTGAGATGGATATATATTCATGAATGTTTATGAGAGAGGGTAGTAAGCAGAAGAGTTCCATAAGATCTCTGATGGATTCTACACAATAAATGACCTTGGTCCCATTTTATTTAGCTACACTTCCAGTAAATGAGTGAGCCTGTTGGCCACAGGGACTCTTTAGGGTACAAGCTGAGGATGGTCACAGGGTTCCTTCCTTCCATGAATTGAAAATTTCACCAGTTGAGGGAACTAGAACTTGCCTACCACAATGGTGAGTCTAAAACTGACACTGTCAATAGCTCCCTTCCTTTCCACTTTATAATAAAAGTGATTTGTCCAATGAAACACATGCTAAGTGGATAAACAACGATGAAAATGCACTTAGCTTTGCAATGAAGAGCTTTTTATGAATAGAAAGGAAATACTGTATTTACTGACATGAAATAGTAACACTGACACTTTATATTAATATTTGGCTAAACCACCTCCCTAGATGTATTTTGGGTCATCTGTGGTCACCAGTGTGTGAGCTGCTAAGAACTAAATAGGGTCTAAATTGGCTCACCTGCAAAAAGTAAAGTCTAAATGTGGTTTTATCTAGCTAAATTGACCTGCAGGAAGACAATAATTCGCTCAGTCAAAAGCTATCTCAGATCTGGAGATTTGTAGATCAGCTATTTTTGTGACAGGATCAGGGTCTTTTGAAATCAGTGTATGAATTTCTTCTTGTTTCACAAAGCACTCAATAGTTGTGTCTTGAAGAATATTTTTAGAAAGTCTTCTGTAAAAATAGTACCAGATTCTTATTGCAAGTTTGGGGGAAGGATGCACATGAAACAAAGTAAAAATAATTGATGGAAGTCAAATCTTTGTCATGGTACAGCACCAGTCCAAAAAGTCCATTTGGAACTCTTTAATATAAGAATATAATTAAAAATAAAAGTGGCAAATTGATCTCAACATGCTTTGTGCATTAATTATTCCTATGAATGTAATTCCATCTCTTTAACATCAGTATTAAAAGTACCCCCAAATCAGCATTAGGGGAGAATGTATTTTTTTCCTGGCAGGATATTCTTGGCCTCTTTTATATTTTGTAGTCTATGAAAAGCAAAATAAAGCAAGTATCCAATCAAAAACAAGTCCCCAGCACAGCAAAATCGACTTTGTCTACTTTCTCCAGCGTCACAGAATGAATCCTAGAAGTCTTTCACATACACTGACATCCTTTCATTTGGACTATGAATTCCAATTAAGCCAAATGCACCTAAAAGTGAGCCCCCAAAAATACTTTTTCCCTGTAATGGGTATTCCCAAAACATTTGCTTGAGAAACTTTCTAAATAGTGAACACTGCCTAGTAAAACACATGCAGTAGACAAAATATCAGGTTTCTTTTTCCAGCTGTCCAGAATCCCATTAGTGCTCTCACTTCTATCAGTCTTTTGCTATAATTAGGATGGCTTAGGGTTTATCTGGGCTTTTTTTCAAAACCAGATTTCCTTCCTAGCAGCAGCAGCAGCAGCAGCAGCAGCAGCTGTCATTCACAAGTACCCTGATGGTACTGGGAGACTTATTTTGATTTGCATTATGGTACAAGAATCATGTCTATGAAGTGAAAGAAAACACACACACACACAGTCCTGCACACATGCATGCAAATCACTTTTTTGCTTTAATTTTTATAAAGGGGTCTTACCTGAAGATGAGCACTCTGGTCTGGAATCTGGTGTGTATCAAATAAGCCATTAACCTGCATCACTTCTCCCTCGAAGCTTGTGTCCCTTTCCTTGGAAAGTGAGTCTGCAGGGAGTGGAACTGTTTCCATGTCTCGCTCTGCGGAGGATGAAATTGCACATGGCTGTGCATGGGAGTGGGAATTCCGGCAAGGAGCTCCAGCTTTGGTGGGTAGAGTCTCTCTTTGATGGCTCCGGTTTAGGGGGTGCTGCTTGGGTTCCTTGAGGAGGGGATTAAAGATGCCATCTGGGGCGCTCTCTTTGTGGGTCAGCTTCTTAGTGTTTCCCTTCATTGCCGACCACCACACTCTGGTGGGTCTCTGGGGGCCCCTCCTGAGGACTGCATGCTTTTCCTCTGGTCTTTTCTCAGCCAGGCTCTCTGAACCCTGCCTCATCCGACTTATCTGATCCCCCAGACAAGGGCTTCACCTCTGCCTCTGTCGCTGCCTTATCCATGGTTAGCAGATTGTCACTGGGAAATTCCTCTCCTGCTTGGTGTCTGTCTCTGGTTTCTCCTGGAATTCCTGGACAATCATCTTCAGCAGCCTCAGAAGCAGTGGGGAGTGGACAACTCCCCTGGCCGGTCACCGTACCCATTCCATCCTGGTGAGGTCCCAGAGTAAGAGTCATCCCTGTTTGCAGGGATGAGGGACTGTGCCTAGAGACTCTATCTCTGACCCCTACTTCTTGGGGTTGTGAGTGATAACCACAGACGGCAGTGATGGCAGCCATGGGCCTCATGTCACCTGACACCTGAGGCCCACAACCCATTTCACGGAGGAAATGCTCACACCCACCCAAGTCACACTCACTGAATTCCATTTCTTCGTCATGGCTTTCTAATAAAAAAACATGCTCAGTCCCCTGCAGGCTCTGTTGCCAAATTGCATTAGAGTAATCTGTCATAACATCGGAACATTCCAGATACTCCAGGTCATCATCTGAAAACTCCTCCATGTAGGTTAGGGTTATCTCTGGGCAAAGTTCATAGTCGCTGTCAGAGTCTTCACTGGAAACCTGGTGCTTGTTGACTGAGGCGCTGTCACCTGGATAAATGCATGCGATTGCCTCAGACAGCGGTACGCTGAAGCTAATGTATTTCTGTGCTTTGGGGTTTTCATGACTAGAGGTGATGGCTTCCTCACGAGGGCCATCATCACTTAGACCACCATCCACTAACGGTGAGGCTGTGGGACACACTGTCCTGTAGCAACATACATTGTGTTTGTCCGGAATATTATTTGAATTAAGGAAACTTTCTTCTGTGTTATTTGGATCATAAGCTTCTGCCTTTGGTATTGTTCCTTTAACATCCAGGGGATTTTCAGAACTGGGAGCAATAATGTCATGATTGGCCAATACCTGGGGTGAACATATGGGGCTGAATTTGCGGGGGGAGGAATCAGGTGGTGGGGGATCCCCCCAGGAGGCATGTTCTTCTTCTTCCTTACAAGGATGCTCTTCTTCATACGTCTCTGTTTCACATTTCCACCCCATGACCGTGCCATGTCTCAGGTCAGGAGAGCATTGTGGGTTCTCTGATGAAGACTTGACCTCCAGGGAAGCAGAGCAGCAGATCATCCCCAGACAGCTTTTAGCAGAGACTTGATAAACAGCAGCATCACTTCGGGTGCAGCTAGGATGAAGAGAACGTAGGGGTAAGTCTGGATCTGCATGCCGCCACTGCTCATTGACTGTGGGGTAAATGGCTATCAAGGGGCTGTACACTCAGATCTGTGGTGTCCCTGGAACAGGGCTTGCAGTCAGGGCAGCTGGCCCCTGGGCTCCGGCTATCCTAAGAGCTGAAATCCTGGGATGCTTAGAATTTTCCTACAATCTTACCCCAAATGAAAATGCTGAGAATTTCTTAAATGGGAGAAATGTTTGAAATTCTAATTTATTATTTTTGCCTTTTGAGTCATTTTTATGTTGTGGTGTGGGAATTCAAAAGAGGATTCTTTTTCTGGAGTGAGACATTGTACACAAATAAGTAAAGTAAAATAGTGTCAACAACTGTTCCTTTTAAGTTCATGTGAGAGGGCATGTTTCTTGCCAGGAGTTTGTAAAGATAACACCATAATAGTGTTATATGTATGGAAGCCAGTGCCATTTCCTCCTTAATTTGATGTCACTAAAAAATCTAAATCACAGCCATGAGCCCCACTGGCTGGAAACTCATGTCCACATGTCATCCTGACTAACATAGAACAAGCCAGGTGTTCGGCTTTGGCCCAACAGGGAAGAAACAGAATCCTGGATCAGACTAAGCCTGCATTCCCTGTTCCAAGAGGGATGGCACTCCTGTGGTTCCTCCCTATAGTGACTGGAGCCACATGGAGACTTGCTTTATTGACTCATTTCCTTCTAGGACCCTTCACCAGGCTCTGCCTATAAAGGTTCGTTACACTTGTATAAGTTATATTTATTTATCCCACTTGACCTCCTTGTGACATTGTCAATCTCCACTATGCATCATCCAGTTTAGAGGGCAGCAAACATTTTCAGAAGGCAGGAGTTGTAGGTCTGGCTCGAACTTGGAAACAATGCTTGTATCTTCATTGACTGTTCTCTGTGTAAAATATGTACAAAGTTCTAACTGGGGAGGGGTGACTGTTAGACACAGACAGATACTGTCATCCTTGTCCTTTCTCTTCCTCACTGGAAGGAACCCTTTGCTAAGGCCATAAGCCTTCAATTGTTGGGTGGTCGCTCACACAAGCCTCACTTTCAGAAACCATAGACTAATTCCAATGTCGATAATGTTTTGTTTTGTTGGTGACCTGGCTCCACTATGGCTTGGGCTTGACCATAACCCACATCTGATATCTGGCTCTGTCTCAGTCAACAGTACAAGCAGACTGAAATTCAAGGCAACTTTCTGGAGGAAATAGTACCTGTTCCTGTTTATTTCACAAACCCATTCAGGCTCAAATGAGAAAAATAAGCATAAAGGGGCCAGATATATTCTCTTAAGACTCAAATGAGATATATTCTCTTAAGATACATTATATTCAGATATATATTCAGATATATTCTCTTAAGACTGTAAAACTACCAAGACCAAGTATCCTCTGCTTCACCAGTGGTGGACAGAAGAATCACCAGAGAACTCTGCTAAAAGTAGCTACATCAGAATCCCTGGGTAAAGAACAGAGAATCAGATTCTAAAGATCCTGTGCTATTCTAATGCAGATTGTCCTCCACATCTACTTTGGAAACATCCCTTTCTCATCCTCATAAATTAGGAGATGGTCTCCTAATTTTTTGGTTAAAACCAAAAATTTAGCTGAAGAAAAGTACTTAGTTGCAGTTCCACATTACACACATCATTCCCTTCACAAAACTTTTGTGATTAATTCTTGGAGATTTGGCCTTAGTTAAAAGTTAAGTTATAGGGGGTATAAAAGAACATTATGGACTCTGGAAAACTTCCAAGTCATTCAGATTTCCTGACTTAGCCAGGGCATGCACCCTCTGCCGAGAAACCAACTCTTCTGAAGGTACCATGACTTGTGTGGAAAGAAGAGAAAAAAAATGAGGCAAAGAGAAAGATGCAAAGGGTCAAGTAAGAAAGGATGGGAATACAGATGATTCTCGAGACTCAAGGAGAGAAAATGAAAAGAATTTTAGAAAAATACAGAGAAAATAATTGGGTTAAATATATTTAACTTAGTGACTAAATAAACAGATTGGAAATTGTCATGATTTAGTGATATTTAATTTTATGCACCATGTGTTTTAGCTGATAGAAGATTTACAATCCATCCTAAGTATACTAAATAAAGTGGAAAAGCAACTGGATTAAGCATAATTAAGTTCTCACTGGTTAATGAATGCCTATGAGTTATGTTTAGTGGTTGACACATCCTTCATAATTATCTCTAAGCATCCTACAGACGATGGGGAGAAAATCAGGCAAGGAACCCAACATCTGTTAGACTGTGTTAAACAGTCTAGCTAGCTGCTCCCTATGTGGGAAAATGAGACTTAAAGGAATCTTCCCAAAATGGCAAGCTAGGAAACCATAGAGCTAGAATAAGCAAACAGAGCCCAGAGTTGTGGGACTCTGAAGCCTAGCTCTGCTCATGCTGGTAGAAAACTGACATTCAGAGAAAGGAAATTGTGGCAGTAGGGAGAGAATTGTGCAAATGGTGTTTCTGTCCTATCTCCATCTTGATTAGTTGGTTGGCAAACGCCTGGAGAGTATGTGCTTGACCCAGCATTATGTTAGGACCTGGAGATGATGGGGAGTCGGGGTGGGGAGGGGAACGGGTGTAAGTAATGAAGTTGTGTGAGACATCAGGTTTAGCAATTAACTTCTCAAGAGAGCCTAGTAGGTCAGCTCCAGGCTAAGCTGTACTTTGCACAGGGGAAGGGGAAATGACGCTGACAAAGGGACTTTGGTGATGCTAGGCTAGTGGAGGTGTACAATCTTCACAACATGCTGGCAGAAGACCTGTGTGCCCCACAGTGATTTGACAGGAATGCAAAAACATCCAGAAGAAATTCCCTGAGCAATTAATGGACTTCCCTCCTTGGTATCTTTTCTTTTGGCCGAGGGAAGCAGTAACATTCTGCCACCCTGCTCAGAAAGTCTTGAATGAATTCTCTAGGATCTTTTTAAGTTAATCATTCCCTTATTAACATAAAAGAGGTCCATGTTACTATAACTGCTGGGGCTTCTTGTGAGTTTGAACCCCCAGAATCAGCCTAAACTAGAGGTTCTGAAAGCATTTGACATCAGGACTTGTCAGACTTTAAAAATGGTTGAGAATGACAAAGAACTTTTATTCTTAGCTTATAGCTTGTATCTTATATTTAGCACATTAAAATTAAAACACAAATGTTAAATGTTTATTAATTCTTTTAAAAATAAATTCATAATGCACTAACATAAATAAATGTTTATGAATAACAACTATATTTTTCCAAAACAAAACAAAATGTTATGGCATCATTTGACATTGTTTCAGATATCTTTAATAGGCTTAATGGAAGACCACTGGATTTTTACTTCTATTTCTGCATTTGATTGTTTCAAATGAAGTATGTGAAGACAATTTGACCTCACATAGATACACATAACAATGCCAGAAGGAAAGGAGACAGGGAAAGAGTCAGGAAGGTTATTTGAGGAAACTGGAAGTCCCTGGTCAAGAGAAGAGACTGAATGATAGTTTGAAATTTCGGATTTTATCACTGGCAAGAGATACTTTTAATTTTCCTTAGAGTGTCAAACTTAACTTTGTTCATTACTGAGAAAATATCAGCCAAATACCCAAGGCTGAATAACCATCATTTGCCCACTGTTCTTTCATGTAAAGATTGTACTCTGTGAAGAAAGTGGCCAGTTCTCCTGCAAGTTAGACAATAATGCAGGTGCTTTTCTCAATCAACTCTAGGTAAAGTAGCAGAGTGCACATGTAGATGTCCCATTTGAGCACATGGGTATTAAAAGGACCTTTACTGAGTTATCAAGATTTAATAAAAGTATCTATTTTTTACTGATGCCTGAAGGACAATTAATCATCAAGTAAAACTCTGTTGTTTTAAACTATAACTATACTCAGTGAAGAATTTGATGACAGTTTGGTACTGCTGCCTTGATTCATACAAAGGCACCAATCAATTTCCCCTCCAATGCTTTTTGCCATCAGTGTTCATATCAACATAGAGAAAAAGGCAAATGGTATTTGAGTATTTTTATGATAATAGTTTTGACCTTATAGAACCCCCAGAGGTTTTAAGGAACCACTGGAGGCCCATGGAAAACTGGAGAACCTTTGACATAAGCTAGTCACCAAGGGAAGCTGGAACATACAGCATCTTCTCACGGCACAGCACTGGCTATCAAAGGAGGGGCCTTCGCTTGGTGGGTAGGTTTGTTGCTTGGTATGATCATTTATGTGCCCTCTTAGGCAGATGACTTAAAGTTTTTGGTTTTCCTGATTTACAACGGGGAAAGACCTATGTCTGGACTCCATTCCCAAAGATTCTGATTCAATGCTTAATGCTAATGCCTGTGTGGTTTAATTTAGGTAAGAGAAGGTGGCTTTCATCAAATTTGAGAGGGCTAATCCTCAAGTTCTTCAGGACTCACCAATTTAGCAGGATTTTGTACTTTGGAAACAAGGAGTAAAAATGTGAGAACCAAGAGGGACAAGAAGCCACAGGCATTTAGGTAACCCTATCAAATAGGAATGTGAAGACAAGGCATTAGGAAAGAGAAAGTATGTAGAAAGGGCAAAGGTAGATATAGACTTATTTTTTCTAGTTACCAGTACAAGGTCCTCATCAAAACTGGTATATTTTTAAATCTCTACATTTAATCTTTAACTGTTATCTCCACAGTCATCAGTATAGTACTCTCAGGGTGTTGTGTGCTCATATTCAATATTCATACATCCTATTGGTCATGAAGATGGGTGACTCCACTGGCACAAGTAAACCTAAAATCAGGATAGGAATTCCCATGTGGACTGAAGAATGGATCAGCTCAGCCATGGCTGCTGCTCTCCTGCCTATGGTCTACGCTGATGCCATGTCCCTGCTCCTAAACCATTTTCCCAGTAATACTAAAATTACTGAAAGTCAAACTGTTCCATTTGACCAGGAGCCCTGAAGACAGAGTTAGAGGACAGGCTAGAGATAAGATGTG